AACTTAGTGATTTTTCTATTTTTTATTTGTCAAATTCTAGTTTGAACACTAAAACCTTGGGTTCATCCACAGTTTTGAAGGATTAGAAAATTGGAATTTTCTTGGCCGCTAGACAAATGGAATAAAAAGAAAATGCTGAAAAAACCTATTTTTATGGAATAAAATTACTTCTTCAATTCTTTCTGTTTTTCTCATTTAAAATCTTTAAGAGCTGACTAAGAGATTCTGATTATTTGTTTTTTCAGTAACCAATATGTAAGTTTTCCACAAAAAAAAAGTTTTCTTAAAGAAGCAAAAACGTATAATAGTTTGTTTTGCCTTTGATTTAAGAAAAATAGTGGATGCTTTTAGGCAAGGTAGAACTCATTTTTAGAAAATTCCTCCAAGAGAGTGGACTCCTCTAGATGCTCCAAGAAATCACCACAATTATATTTAATTTGAATAATAATGCAGCAAACCTAAAAGAATTGGAGGAAAAGAAAAATAAATTATGTAGGCTTAATTTCATGTATGATAACTATTTTTTATTTATTTACCCATTATATCAATAAAATCACCAAAGTTTATTCAATAACAATAACCAAGACAAAAATAGGTTCATGAATAGGGGTGCGCATCGGTCGGTTCGGTTCGGTTTTAGGTGTTATTGGTTCGGTTTATCGGTTTTCGGTTTGTAAATACTTCAAACTGATAACCAAACCAATAACATATTTCTTATCGGTTTTTGGTTAATCGGTTTATGGTACTTAACGGTTCGGTTTTCGGTTTAACCAATAAGAAAATACTTATATATATTATATACACAATAAGAAAATTTTCAAATAAACCATATGATTTTTCCAGCATTTGGCATGAAAGTAATAATCATAAAAGTAACAATCATTTTTCTTGCAAGTTTAGACACTAGACACATTCAAAGGAAAAAGTGTGAAAGTAACAATTGTTTAACCATTAACAAAAAGTGTGAAAGTAACAAACGTTTAACCATTAACAATAAGACTAGTAAATTTAGTATAGTCTTATTGGGTTATCGGTTTAACCATTAACAAAAATTATAAAACCAGAAACCGAACCAATAACCCAATAAAAAAATTTGCAAAACCGTTTAAAAACCGTTAGCCCAATAACCCAATATCAATAAACCAATAGTGTTTTTTTCGATTCGGTTTATTGGTTAAATCGGTTTTTGCACACCCCTATTCATGAAAGAAAGCATCTTTCATATAACATGACATATTACTTACACTTAACGAATGAGAAGCGCCTTTAACCATTATTGAATTTATAATATTTATTTATATATTATTTTATTTTGCCATGATGAGATTAGTTTGTAAGTGATGGAGTTCACTTTCTTGCAACAATATGATTCCAAGTGTGATTTAGACAAGACAATTTACCAATCAACCATTGTAGCAATAATACAATTTGGAATGGTTCCTTTCCCAAATCAAAGCCATACAATTAAGGGGTCATTTAGTAGAGTGTACGTCAATAATTTTGTATAAAATTATGTTGAAGTTATTTCTTATGTATTGTTGGTGTGTTAAAATAACATATATTATATAATTTTTAAAAAATTATTTGTTTATAAAAATATCCTTCATAAAATACGATGAAAAAAATATGAATTTTTTTTTGAGGGACAATTGTATCTTAAACAGTGATAATACATGAATTAATAAAAACAGATGAGGAAATTTGGAATGCACTAAATTCTATTGGAGATGATAAAGCAACTGGAGTAGATGAATATACTGCTTATTTTTATAAGAAGACTTGAAGTATCACTAGATATGACATGCTCAGGGCTATCAAAGAGTTTTTTCAGTCTGGAAAACTTTATAGACCAGTTAATTGCACTGTGATCACATTGGTCCCTTAAAATTCCAGCCTTGTGAATATAAAAGAGTATAGACCCATAGCTTGCTGCACTACCCTTTACAAAATCATTGCCAAAGTACTAGCTGCTAGGATGCAGAAAATTATGGCACATATTATCAGTGAAGCTCAATCAGGATTCATCCCAAGGAGAAATATTGCTGATAACACCATCCTTGCCACTAAGCTGGTTAAAACATACTCTAGGCAACACATTTCTCTAAGATGTACGTTAAAAATTGACCTACAAAAGGCTTATGATTCTGTGGAGTGGTCTTTTTAAGAACAAGTGCTGGAGAATCTATGTTTTCCTCAGAAATTCATCTAATGGATCCCGGAGTGTGTGCATACTGTGAATTATATAATCACGATAAATGGAGATACCACACCCCCTTTTAATGTTGCAAGAGGGCTTAGACAAGGAGACCCTATCTCTTCATACTTATTTGCTATATTAATGGAATATCTAAGTAGATACCTTGCTGAAATTAGAGAAATTAAAGGGTTCAAGTTTCATCCTAAATGTGACAGATTGAATATAACTCATTTATGTTTTGTAGATGACCTTTTACTTTTTACTAGAAGGGATCAAAAATTTGTAAAGATCATTTATCAGTGTTTCCAAATTTTTTCCCAAGCATCAGGACTGCAGGAAAACATGAATAAAAGCTCCATATATTTTGGTGGTGTCCCTGAGCATGTAAAACTGAATATACTTCAGCAGAGTGGTTTTGGATATGGTGAATTCCCTTTCAAGTATCTTGGTGTTCCTCTATCCACTAAGAAACTGACTACTAAAATTATTGCTAAAATCTCCTCTTGGACTGCTAAGAGACTCTCATATGCAGGAAGAATGCAATTGGTTCAATCTGTACTCTTTGGTATCCAGGCCTGCTGGTCTCAACTCTCCATCATTCCTGCAAAAGTCCTTAAGCTTATTGAGTCATATTGTAGAAGTTTCATTTGGTCAAGAACTAATACCATTAACAAGAGAGCATTGATAGCATGGGACAAAATTTGTCTACCTAAATCAGTTGGAGACATGAATCTCATTAATATTAAACTGTGGAACCAAGTTGTTATTGCCAAGACCAGTTGGGATCTTGCTCACAAATCTGACAAGTAATGGATTAGATGGATCCATTCATTTTACATAAAGACTCAATACTTCTTTACTGCACCTATTCCAATGCAGGCTTCATGGATGATCAAGAAGATCCTTAATGCTTGATGTGCGGCAAAATCATGGCACATTTGATGCTTAATAACTATGAACTAATATTGGAAATAAGTGAAATATTGAATTATTTGATGGGTTTGTTAAGTGTGTAGGCAGAATTTGGGTTGTATAGAAAAGTGGAAAAAAAGAAGAACTGATGCTGACCAAGTGAAGTTCACGGTCAACTTCACGGACCGTGAACTTCATTACGGTCTGTGGTTGAGCTCGTGAACGTGAGGCAGTGCTGGGCCTTGAGAAGATGAAGAGCAGAAATAACCAAGTGAAGACCACAGAGGGTTTTACGTGTCGTAACCCTCATCACAGACCGTGGTGGTGATCGTGATGCTGAACTTGAGAAGAGGTTAATAGATGTTGTTAAGAGATAGGGCAAAGTTAAAGTCACGGGCACCTTTACGGGCCATGAAGGTCACTACGGACCGTGGTACCCGTTGTGATGATGAACCAGTGGATGGACTTCGAAGAGTTGACAGAAGGTTGAAACCCAAGTGAAGTCCACAGGCGACATCACGAGCCGTGGTTCTCACTACGGATCGTGGTAGCTCTCGTGGTGCATTTTCTAGTAAAGGCATTGAAGACCTAATCTTTGGGAAAGTTGAAGGAAAGATCACGGAGGACTTCACGGCCCGTGAAGCCCTCTACGAATCGTAGACGTGGCCGTAGAGCCATCCGACACCTCAGTCTTAGTTTGATTAGGACTCATTTTAAACATTCTATTTTTAATTACTTTAGGTCATTTTTGGATCAATATTCATTATCTTACATTTTACGACCAAGAACACAGTATTACTCTTAGCGTTGGATTTTTGGATTTTTGATTATTGTTATGAGTTGAACATTCGGATTCAGACTATCAGATTATCAAAGTGATTGTTGATTTGCTAATTATTTTCATAAGTCTTTCTCAATATGTTTTCATCCTTAATTACTGATTGTTTATATGAAAGCATGAGTGGCTAAATACCACGACTGGGGTTGTGGGATCTATGATGATATTCTAGTTGTGATTTCGTAAAACGAGTAAAAGGCAGTCTGTGTTTACAACCAGTAGTTTTTAGATTTCAATATTATCTTAGTCTAGTGAGTGCATGCATTAGATGAGCTTGCATCTGGTATTTGTTCGAGAGAAAAATACCAGTTAGGAAAATGTTGAATTAAATTAACAAATTAGAGTTAAAGCTTGAGTTCGAGAGAAAAGATCTTTAACACCATATCATTTCAAGTGAGGTTCAATGTTAGTAACACTCTAAGGTCGAGAGAACATGAGTGATCATTATCTGATTAGGCTGAGAAGCGTTAGATAAATTTAACTCGCAAAGATTCTCTAAACATTGATTTGTTTGACACTTAAATTATGGGAGAACACTAGAACTAATGTTATGGTGAACACAATCCTGGTTTCTCTTAATTAATTGAATCAATATTACAACGAAATAGTTTGTTAGTCTTGAGCTTGGATTTTGACTGCAAGTTTTGGTAATTATAACAATTCAACAATACCCAATTTACTTTCCATTGTTATTTGTCTAGGAGATAATAACAACATGAGAATAAATGCGACAGTGAAACCTTATCTGTAAAGAAATTCTCTGTGGTTTCGACCTCAACTCTAGTTGAGTTCTGTAAATTGACATCGACCTTTTACACTTCTTATTTAAAATGTAAGTTTGATCATATCAAATTTTGGCGCCGCTGCCGGGGAATTTCAATTCAGAAGTGTTTTACTTGCTTTTATTCGATTTGTAGTTATATTTCCTAGTTTTACGTTTTGTTCTGTGTTTGTGTCTCTTTCAGGTGAGTGCTACTGTATATGCCAAGTACGAGGAGTAAATGGGCTCCATTGATCCCTTATGATTCAGAACTCCAAAAGACTCTTCGAAAAATGGTGAATGCACAAGAACTTGAGGCACAAAGACAAACGTTGGGACTAGAAGCTGAAGCTGTTGCAAGAGGTATTCAATAGAACGGCGGTAACAACCAACCTAGGATGGTAGATGAGAATAGAGGAGTGGATGGATTGATCCCTCCCCATCGCCAACCAATAGCTCTAAGGGGTAGAGCTCAGCATCCACCGCACATGATGTATGAAGAAGATGATGCTTAATTGGATGGAGCTGGAGCCACTGGCGCGATAGTGTTACATGTACTACCTCCAGGTGTTAAGTTCACAATCACCAGCACCATGTTCCAATTGTTGAACCTGAATGGTATGTTTAGAGGTGCAGCTGGTGATGATGTAAATCAATATCTGATGAACTTTGTGGCAATTTGTAAGTCATAAGAGATTCCTGGGGTCAACCAAACATCAATGAGGTTGAGGCTGTTTCCATTGTCTCTTACTGGAGAGGCAACTAACTGGTTGAATGAGATGCCAGACGACTCCATCTGAACTTACACTGAGTTGAAGGAAGCTTTCCTAGAATGATTCTTCCCAGAATCAAAAGAACTACAGATGAAGGATGAGATTTGTACACACAAGCAGCTACCAGGAGAGGCAATGCATGATACTTGGTGGAGGTTCAGCCAAAAGCTGAAGAAATGCTCCAACCATGATCTTACCGAAAGACATCTGAAATAGGATTTTTATAGGTCTCTGAATTATGTTAGTAAACATGTTGTTGATGCAGTTTGTGGAGGCTCATTTATGAGGAAGTCATTTTCGGAGAGCATGCAGCTGTTGGATGAGGTATCAAAGAATAACAGGGCATGGTACACAAGAGATGCGAAGGTAGGAGAGCTGGGGTAAACATTTGGGCTTTCAGATGAACAAAGGAAGAGAGAAGAAAAAATAGACCAAGACATGACATATATGCGGACACAAATAGATTTGCTCACAAAGCATATTGTTGCCAAGTCTGAAAAGGTAAATGTTGTGGGACAACAAAACAGGTATGATGATCAGGATATTGACCTTGATGAGGAAGCTAACTACTTGGGGAACCAATGAGGTTTTTGAAATTAGAACTCTGGAAATCAAGGTTACAATTTCGGAAATGCAGGTCAAAACTATGCTAGGGATGGTCAGTATGATGGTTGAAACTATGCTAGCGATGGTCAGTTTGGTCAGGGAAACTGACAGAATAGAGATGGGTATATGAATGATTGCAGTGGTGTTTATGTTCCCCCAGACAATAAAGACCGGGCAAGTGGTAGTTCCAGCGAATCTAAGCTGGAAGATATGATGGCTAAAGTACTCCAGAAGGTTGAATCAACTGATGCAGGGGTAAAAGTAATGGGAGGTGATTTCTCAAGCATGAGTCAGTTAGTGGATTCTTACACCACCTCCATTAAACAAATTGAGCAGTAGTTGGGGAAACTCTCAGCCTCACTGAATCAAAGGAAGAATGGGTTACTACCAAGTGACACCATTCAAAATCCTAAGAAGGGCGGACATTGTATGGTCATCACCACTAGGAGTGGTAAAGTTCTTACTAACCCTATTTCTGCAGGTACCAAAAATGAACAAGTCTTGGAGCAAGCTGGCAGAGATGATGATGATACTATATAGGTAGATGACTTGGAAGATGCTCAGCCTAAAGCACAACCTGCGAGAAGAAAAGAGAAGGAGGTCGAGGAAAACCTGCCTTTACAGCAGATCCCCAGACCACCTCATCTTTTCCCTCAAAGGCTCAAAAAGAAAGCTAAAGATGGGAAGTTTACAAAGTTTATCACCATGTTGAAACAACTTTAGTAAACATACCACTGGTGGAAGCCCTGAAGCAGATGCCAGGATATGCCAAGTTCATAAAAGACTTGGTTACCAAGAAAAGAGCTGTAAGTTTTGATTTTTCTAACGATGTTCATCATTGCAGCTCCATTGCTACCAGATTTCTGGTTCAGAAGAAGGAAGATCCAGGTGCATTCACGATCCCATGCACCATTGGGTCAATTAGCTTTGCAAAAGCTTTATGTGATCTAGGAGCTAGCATCAACTTGATGCCATTAGCCATTTACAAGAAGTTGGGATTGGGAGTACTAAAACCTACAGCAATGAGGTTGATGATGGTTGATAGGTCAGTAAAGAGACTTGTGGGAGTCCTATGTGATGTACTTGTAAAGGTGGACACCTTCATCTTTGCAGCTAATTTCGTGATCTTGGATTGCGAAGAGGACTTCGAGGTTCCCATCATCTTGGGGAGACCATTCTTAGCAATAAAAAAAGCCTTGGTTGATGTTGAGAGATGAGAGCTGAAGTTCAGACTCAACAAGGATGAGGTAAAGTTCAATATTTGCAGGTCAATGAAGCAACCCAATGATATAAATATGGTATATGCCATCGGGTGGTTGTTGATGAAGACATGAGGGTACCCATAGAAGAGATGATGGTTGTTCAAAAGTTAGCAGCAGTGTTGATGAACTTTGATGCTGATTTCTGGTCTGACTACAAGAGACCGTTAATGATTTGCACGGTATGGGAGCACATTCGTATGCTCGAAAGAAATTAGACCTGGACTTGAAAAATAGGTCAAGTCCTCCAACAAAACCATTCATTGAGGAGCCACCGGTGCTGGAACTGAAACAGTTACCCAGTCACCTCAGGTATGTATTTTTGGGTACTAACAACACTTTACCTGTGATCTTGGCTGCAGATTTAAATGAAGAGCAGGTGCAGGAGGTGATCAAGGTGTTGAGAAGGTACAAAAGAGCCATTGGGAGGACCATTGCTGATATAATTGGAATACCTCCGAGTATATGCACCCACAAGATTCAGTTTGAGGAGGACTGCAGCCCAAGCATTGAACACCAGCAGAGGCTAAACCCACTTATGCAAGAGGTGATTAAGAAAGAAATAATCAAGTGGTTATATGCTGGGGTGGTCTATCCCATTTCTGACAGTCACTAGGTCAGTCCAGTGCAATGTGTGCCTAATAAGGGCGGTATGACTGTGGTGGCAAATGCCAAAAATGAGTTAGTCCCGCAAAGACCAGTCACTAGATGGCGAGTGTGTATGGACTACAGGAAGCTGAACAAGTGGACTTTGAGGGATTATTACCCCATGTTTTTCATGGATCAGATGCTTGATAGGTTGGCAGGTAAAGGGTGGTACTGCTTCTTAGATGGATATTTTGTCTACAACCAGATATCTATTGCTCCTGAAGATCAGGAAAAGACCACTTTCATATATCCTTATGACACTTTTGCGTTTAAACGCATGTCATTTGGACTATGTAATGTACCAACAACATTCCAAAGGTGTATGATGTCCATCTTCTCGAACATGGTTGAGGACACTCTAGAGGTATTTATTGACGATTTCTCTGTAGTATAAGTGATACTTTTGATGACTGTTTGCTGAATCTTAACAGGGCTTTACAAAGAAGTGAGGAGGCCAATCTAGTGCTGAATTGGGAGAAGTTTCATTTGATGGTAAAAGAGGGCATAGTCCTGGGTAAGGCTGCGCAATTGACCAGAACAGAACCACTAGATCGGAACGAACTGGTACCGAATCGAAACGGGACGGTTTGACCGGTTTGTTGATCGGTATCGAGATGAACCAAACCAGAATTACCGAGACGGATACTCGGTTCCGTCCCGTCCCACTATATATTGGGATGGAATCGAAACGGATCAGAATGGAATGGGATAAACGGAACGACACATCTAACTATTTCAAAAAATGATAAAAAAAATATTAGTTATTTAGATTTTTTGAATTATGAAAATATGAATGTTTTTTTTATTTTTCTAAGTTTAAACTATAAATTAATAGTTTTGAAATTTATAATGTAATTTTACTTAAGTTTATTTTAGAGATTTTTAAAAAAAAATTTACCTAATAAACTTACAAGTTAGGTTTAATAAAGTTTTTAAAAAAAGTTTTTTAGCTTAGTTTTCAAATTTCAAGATTTGAATCTTTTGAAGTTTATAAGTTATTACTTATTAATATGTTATAACTTATAATAACTTGTAATTTAAATAACTTAAGTTTGTAATTTTAAAAAAATAAATAAAAATAAGGATAAAACAATGACACAAATGACAAATTTAAAAAATATCAATCCAATCTATATAAATTTGTATTACAAATTACAATTATAATTTACAACTATTAGTAGAGTGCATAATTTACGCAGCCACCTTCTAGGGCGGGTTCTGTTTCAACTAAGCCTCGAATGTAATACTAATAGTTGTATAGTCCCATAAATCCTTTCTCTAACTCAGCTATAGATTGACCGTAATCAGCTACTGGTCTTGGTAAAGCTCGTTGATGATCTTGAAGTTTCATGTCATCGTCACTACTACATCCAATGGCTGAATCTGTGAAAACTTAATATTGACTATCTAACTTTGGAAGTCCTTGATTTCTACGCTCAACATTTAACCAATCTCTAAAAAGCACCGATATCTACAAATTGTCTTCTGCTAACAATTATCTGTGGTCTCCAATTTGAAATCTTGTCACGCTGAAAGTTGTATCTGAAGCTATTGATGATCCTTGAATTGCAAGCACATCCTTCACCATCCTACTAAGTTTTTGAAATTGAGTTCCATGAGCCCTCCACCAGTTCAGTAGTTGTGGTATACCTTTCTCGTTTGTAATATTATTTGAACCCTGTTCAAGATATTTAACAAATTCACATTTATGATCAAGTTTATGTTTCACTCTACCATGGGCACCTACTCGAGGCATAGACATTTGAGGATTTTCAACATTATCTAAGGAACAATATTTATCATACATTTCTTTAGCAAGTAATTTTATACTATTTTGATATGTTAGAAAATCAGGTTGTTCTTCTGATTTAATATCTAAAATTTGATAAATGCATTTAACTAAAACTTTTGCACCATATTCTTTATATTCAGGGTTGAAAAGAATTGCAGTTAAATAAATTTGAGGGATAGGAAATTTTTTTTGTAATCATAACTTCAATAGCACTAGTAAATAATTCATCTGTTTTATATTTAGAAAAGAGAGATGAAATCTCACATATATGTATTAAAATTTTGGAAATAGTAGGATAATACATACCAAAAAAAATTTTAGTAGCATCATAAAATGATTTCAAAAATATTCTAAGTTCATTTACTTTATCTCATTCACTATCAAGTTTTAATTCAGGATAAGCATTATGACTATTAAATTGCATAGTAATAGGTTCTCTACATGTATAAGCAGCTTCAAGCATATCATAAAAGAAATTCCATCTAGTTTTTACATGTTTCGGAACTTTTCTAAACGGAAGTTTACATACATTACAAAGCTCTTTAAATTGATTAATTATACTACTACTACATATGGAAAATATAAAAACAAGCATTATCAACTTTATCACAACTATTTTCAAATAATTTCACACCGTCACTAACAATCAAATTTAATACATGCGCAACACATCTAACAGGAAAAACATATTTACTAATAGGACAAATTCTAGATGCTAGCATATTAATAGCATTTAAATTAGCAGAAGCATTATCTAAAGTAATACTAATGACTTTATCACAAAGACCGAAAAAATCTAAAATTTCCAACACAATAGTAGCAATATACATTTCAGTTTTTTTCTGTTGACAAATTTTATAACCGATAATTCATTTTTGTAAATTAAAATTATAATCAATCCAATGCGCAGTAACAGTTAAATAATCAAAACCATTAGGACTACAACTTATATCAGTGGTAACAACAACTCTACAATCCATTATTTCAAAATAGGCACGCAAAAATTGACATGTTTTTCTTGAAATTCAAAAATATCTCTTTTTACCATGCTTCTTGATAAACCTTTAAAACTAGAATTATATGTATCACGAATATATGCAATAAAACCTGAATATTCTCTAAAACTAAAAGGTAAACCACAAACAACAACCATTTTTGCAAAATTTTCACGATCATGATCCTTATTATAGGTTCGATGAGCAAGAGGACCACTTCGGTTTGAATTATTTAATTCACCTTGAACCATATTTGACCCTCTAGCCGATGCTCCAATGCTAGAATCTTCACAAACACTAAGAGAAGAAAAATATGAAAACCACTCTTGACTATGTTTTTGCATCAAATGCTTTTTTAATCCCCCCGTTAAACCTCCACTCCCACTAGATTTATATTTAAAATGTTGTTTACAAATATTACATATACTAAAAGTTTTTCTTCATACAAAAAATAAAATTTCCACACATTTGATTTTAAAGTACGTTGTACCTAGGTCTTACCTCTAGTTGAAACAATAGGGGGACGACTAGTTCCAACCGGAGGATTGTCCTCCTGAGGTGGAACTTCAGTACTATTGAGGTCGGGACTAGTTGGTGTATCATCTAAATCTTCTTCATCAATTTCTACTTCTTCATTTTCTTGATAATTACCATAATGTCTTTCATAAACCTCTTCAGAAATTATAGGAGTATTCGAATTAATTTCGATAGGACCGGGACAAGAAAAAACTAGTTTCATTCACATGAGTAAATTCATCAGTATTCATTCTAAAAAGAGGAAAATTAGATTTAGAAGAACTAGAACCGTTCTTATTTTTTGTAAACATATTTTTTACTCCGTGTACAATACCTTTTTTACCTCCACTTTTTTTAGAAGACTCCATGATATAAAATTATAAATTATAAATTATGAAATACGAAATTTAACAAGAAAAAATAAAATATAACAAGAACAACTTACAAATAATAAATACAAAAAATTAATATAAGATTAGATAGTGGAACGAAATTACCAAACGTTTGTGTAAAGAACTAATGATTATAACTGATAATTGAAAAATTGATGTCGAAACTTGAAGTTTGAAGAAGATTTCTACTCTAAAATTCACCAAATGCTTATTGAAATCTTCACAATTACAAAAATAATATGATTGAAATTTGGAACTTGATTATTGAAAGTATTAAACTTTGAGAAAGATTGAAAATAGAGAGAAATTGATGATTGTTAATTGTTAAATACGTAAATTGTAATTAAAAATATAAAGAGAGTATATATAGTTTTTAGAAATTGTGATTATGTGTTGGAATTGGAAAATATAGTCGTTGGAATGGAATATGAATTGGAGTCTGGAGACGTTGAAAATATTTCCATTGCGGGCTGGGGCAATCAGCATTGGCCAGTGGGGACTGGGGACTGGGGCTGGCCGGATAGGACAGGTCGGCAGGGGGCAGGGGGCAGGGGCAGCAGGCTTTTCAGCCTTTGCTGAAAAGCTGCCGCCTGGGGCATTATGAAGACATATATT